ATTCGCTTATGTGCGAAATGAAACATACAAATGCGAATAAGCTAAACTATATTCTCTGACTGGAAAAGCAACCACTTAGAATAATCTCGAAAGAAGTAGCTATCCGGATTTCATAACTTCGAATCTGACCTTGTGGGTATGACCATTTGAAAGGATTGGACGGGGTGCATCGTCTTTCAGAAGGTCGGCTAAGGCGAACAAGGAGAGCGTGCCTCCACGATCACCAGCGGCTAAAAGGTTGTTGTCCAACTAAAGGGATTTTTAAAGCTTAAAATATCCAGGTACCTGAAGAAAGTGCAGAGCGTCGATGCACATGCCTGGATTGTGAAAGCATGACACTTTTGTACAGTTCTCGGGTTCTTCGAGGAACCAATCCATGATGCGTTCCCGTATTACACAGGACTTCATCCAGTTCACTTTTTTACCTAAATCGAAAGACGGGTAGGTGGTTTAATCGATGTGCAAAACAGTTGAGTTCTGAAAAGAGCCTAACAATTCAATAAGTTTGTACTAAAGAACGATCACTAAGAGGTTGTCATCCAACTGACTGACTGCTGTCTCTTCCACTTCTCTTTTAGGCCTTAATACGCCGCATCTAACTCGACTGCTCGGTTAATGCATGCGTTATTCAAGCGTGGGCCTCCCGAACTATTGGGCCTCCTTGGGCCGACAAACACCAACTATGCGATTTCTGCCCCCAGCGAAGGTGTGCACAATAGCCTGGATATGCATAGATACTTGTGACGAGTGGACACGCTTCGATACTGCGAAATGGTGTTTGTAAAAGCAGCTTTCCAGTTGGCCCAAAGTACCCTCCACCGCGAAAACTGCATGGAATTTGGCAAACAAGTTTTTTTATTACCTAAATAGCCTACCCTATCTCTAATGTACAAACTGGGCGCATAATGTAGTCGTCGACATTCTGTACCACTTACAGTTCCTGCGTCTTCCGATAAGTTAGTGCAAATTTTAAATTTAAAACTTGTTTAGCCATTTTTTTCGGATTGGGTGTCTGTTTTGAACGACCTCGTTCATTTTCTTTTGACTTGTTGTCCATTGCATTCCAATAGCGGCCACCAATTTTCCATGAGGCCCACTATCAAACATGGCTTAGTTGGGAATTTACTGTAGGATAAGGGGTTAGGTCAGGAGATTAATAAGCCTGGTTTAGGAAGAATATATGCACGCATAAACCATGGATTTGACTTTATCACCGTCAAAGGGGAGCAACGATTTCCCTGATGTTAGTTGAAATTATTAAAACCATGGATTAATTTATCTGATACTCACTGTGTACTAATGGCATGGGTTTGAAGCATAAGTTCATATAAAAACTCGTATAAACGTCACAAAAACAGGATACCAAAACGATTTCTCATTTTGAACGTCAAGTTTGGAGAGCCCGCAATTTTCTACGAAGTGTCTGTCAAGGGAATTGTGCCAGCTCCCTCTAGAAAGACCATAGCTTGTATGCTTGCATACAAATTCAATGGACAAGACATGTAGTTACTCGGTGTCTTCCTGTAGTCCAACGTGCTTGCCTTAGAAAATCGTTAGTGGAAACAAACTATGTGTGTCCAAGTAAGAAACCATACTGTTTGAATACACACTCGAGATAATGGCCCAGAATTTTTGTCTCGCGTTACAACTAAGGAAGGAGATAACGGTGTGATTATCCAGATAAGCGTTTTTGCTCTTAACACAAGCCATTTTAAACATTATGGTTAGGGTGGTAAGGAGTTAAATTGCTAAGTGATGGTGCTAAAAATGAATTCAGTATAGGTTCCGACATCGTC